AGTTTGATCTTTTTCTTTTAGCACTAAAATGTAAAAAAAAATCAACTTGTTATTTTAGCTTTTCAGAATTGATCTAATAATTTGTGGTCTTTATTTAAAACTGAATTTATGTATTGCTCAGTCTATAAAAAGCTTCAGCCAAGCTGAGCTGCAGGGGCAGCTGGTCCTCAGGCTGCTTCACAAGAACCAGAAGAGATTTTAGTGAAAATATATTTAATATTTAAACATAGTTACAGAAACATACGTGAGTTAAAAACCTGCTGCAGAGGTCTGCGGTTCCTCAGCAGCACTAACAGAGCTGCTGCAGGACCAGGCCCGCAACGCTTCAGGTCCATATAATCCTTACAGAGACCCGGCAAGTCCCACAGGTTCTGACAGTCCAGTTGGAGTCCACGTGGCCCAGCTCAGTCCTCCTGGGAGCCCTCCTCTGCAGCCGGCCTGTCCTGCTCCAGCTGCTCGCTGCTGGGGATGGAGTTCTTCTTGGGACGACCTTTGGGCTTCGTGGGAGACTCCAGACCCCCTCCCTGAAGGACCTGCAGGGGGGACCGGGTGTTAGTCTGAACCCTTCGGCTCATTCTGAGCTTTTCCTCTTTCAGCACAACAATAAACACACAAATGACTTGTTGATCCCTTTTATATTTTAGGACAAAAAGAACAAAAAAATGAAAAGTTTTGTGTCAAACTCTGACTTTCTTTATAGAAAACAACAAGTTTTTAATCAGAAATAATAAAGTTTATTTTTAGTGCAGGTTTACTGAATAATTCAGCAGAAACACAAACAGTTTCTTTAAGTTCTGTTTTATTTATCTGTTATTTATTCATTTTTATTTTGTCTCATTATGTTTAAAAAAAAACACATCAACTCACAATTTTCTTCCATTTCATCCTTCGGTTCTGGTACCAGGTTTTCACCTGCAGCTGACTGAGGCCCAAAGACTCAGCCAGGTCGATCCTGCAGGACAACAGCAAGTTTCAAAATAAAACTCTTAAACACAACATATTAATATTTTATTTTCTTTACTTAAAAACTTATTATCACCTAAAGCCAATGCGAGAGCTTGCTTTTATTAGCAACTAAAATGTTAATAAATATAGAATAGAATTCAACTTTAACAAGCAACGAAATGTAGTTTGAATCTATCCAGAAGTGATGTACAGCAGTGCTTCCCAAAGTTGGGGTCGGGAACCAAAGTGGGGTCCCGAAACATCAAGGTGGGGTCCTGAAAAGATTTTCTGAATTAATT